ATCGAGTCCTCCTTTGCATCCGAGTCCTGACCGAACTGATCTCGATCTTAAGCTCGAGCTGCCTGAACACAGAGTAGCTGCCCCAGAGCTGATGGACAGGGGGACATGCCAAGAGGACGCGCCGCGGAACGTCTCAAGGGACGCGCCAAGCGAGGTGCCAAGGGACGTGCCATGGGGGCGCGCCGCGGGACGTGCCCAGAGGACGCGCTACGGAACGTGCTGGGGAAAAGCGTTTCGCTCGAGACATCCTATCAAAATCCAAAGAAATCCTCGCAAAACAATCGAATTAGTCGAGACATCCTGGAAATTCCTGCGCGCAGGACGCGGCACGCGCGAGACATCCTCGGAATTCCTGCAAGCGGGACGTGAAAACAAGCATTTTGCCTGAGACATCCTTTGAATTCTGGCCCCCCACGAGGCCCCCGCTCGAGACATCCCTCAATTTTGCAAAACCATTGTTTCGCTCGAGACATCCTCAACAAATTATGAACATTTTGAAAAACCAGCGTGTCGCTCGAAACATCCTCAACCAATTATGAACAAACAAGCATTTCGCTCGAGATATCCTGCCAAAATTCAAGGGAATCATAGAAAAACAAACGAAGTAGTCGAGACATCCTCGAAATTCCTGCGCGCGGGACGCAGCACGCGCGAGACATCCTCAGAATTCATGCGCGCGGGGCGCTTTTCCGCGTCGCGGTCGGCTCTGCAAAACCAGCGTTTCGCTCGAGAAACCCTTAACAAATTCTGAAAACAATCTTTTCGCTCGAGACATCCCCGACTCTGCAAAACCAGCGTTTCGCTCGAGACATCCTCAACAAATTATGAAAAACAAGCGTTTCGCTCAAGACATCCTCCCAATTAATTCCGCCGGTCCACCTCGACCTCGATATTTATCAGGGAATAACTCCGCCAGCCCACCTCAAGTCAAGTCCGGGGGTAAACCTCCAAGAGAGAACCCTGGGCCTAAGCCCTTTCCGGGAAAAAGAGAGCCCTGGTTGGCGTGGCGTCGCTGTGTGCTTGTGCTGCCTGGCCTCGCGGCCACGCGCGAAGGGGCGCGCCGCAGGAACACACACACACACACAACTTCTGGCGGACCCGACCTCGCGCGCGGCGACGAGGCGGAACAAGTAGGGGGCCACATGCGGACCCTACCCCTACCCCCCACGATTTCTGGGGGGGAGGGTGGGGCTCACTCCGCTCGGGAGAGCTCCCGAACGGAGTGAACCCCACCCTCCCCCCCAGAGATCGTGGGGGGTAGGGGTAGGGTTCGCATCTGGCCCCCTCACAAGTCGAGCGCGGCGGCGGAAGCACGGGCCGGTGCCCGCGCGCGCTGGACCACGGGGGGGGGGGTGCACACTGCCAGCTGGGCATGGGCGGCGGGGAGACGGAGAGCGCACTGGCCGCCGTCGAAGGGGAGCGTCACGCATGGACGGCGCCGCGCGGACGCAGCGAAGGAGCCAGGAGCACAGGGGCTCCCGACTTCGCGCCTCGCGCGCTGCGCGAAGCGCGAAGTCCTCCTCCTCCTCCTCCTCCTCCTCCTCCTCCTCCTCCTCCTCCTCCGCCCTCCTCCTCCTCCTCCTCCTCCTCCTCCTCCTCCTCCTCCTCCTCCTCCTCCTCCTCCTCTTTCGCGCTCTCGCGCCGCCTCCCAGGGCAGAAGAGGAGGAGAATGAGGAATCGGAGCCGAACCGCGAAACGCGAAGCGCGAACAGCTTCGCGCCCTCGAGGGCGCCCTTGGAGCACAGCGACCGACCAGGGCGCCAGGCGATGGCCAACGGCGAGACGGGGACGGAGGTGACAGAATGCCACGGGACAGTACCGCCTGGACTTCCTCCCCCAGGGCCGCGAGAGGCCGCGGGAGGGAGAGCGCTTCTGGGATGGCGCAGCGCCATGTTCCCAGCCAGGAGTGGCAGGTGCCGAGTCGTCCTCGACTTGGGAGGCGGCGAGGAAGACGTCTTCGGGGAGGGAGTGGATGGGCTGGCGAGCAGAGAAGGCAAGGGGGCCAGGGGGCCGCTGGCCAACGGCAACGAGGTCCGTGATCCGCGCTTGCCAGCACTCAGGGACCAGCCAAGTTTCGCCAAGTTCTGCCAGCACGTAATCCCACCAGCACTCTGGGCGTCGGTGGTTTAGAGGGTTTCCTCTTCCACCCTCCTTCTAAGAAGGAGGGTGGAAGAGGAAACCCTCTGGGGAAGAATCTTCCCCTTCGGGGAGGGGTTTACCCCTCCCCCCTACCCCCTCCCCATGGACCTGGACAGGGGATTCCGCGAGGTGTCGGAGCGCCCAAAACGGCCTCGGCGAGGAAGCAAACATCATTGGTTGTACTAGGGTTTTGGCCCCATGTTGGCCTTCTGAGGACGGGGCGTAATTAAGGAACCCCCCTTCGTTTACCGATATCATCCAAGATGGTCCCAAGAGAGCCCCTAAAGCTTCCAAGAACGCCCCGACAAGGCCCCCAAAGGAGCCCAGACGGGCCCAGGAGGCGCCCACGAGGCCCCAAGAGCCCCCAGGATGGCCCCAAGATAGCCCAAAATGGCCCCAGGGACCCCAAGCGGCCTCCCCGAGGCACCCAAGACGCCCAAGAGTCCTCAGGACCGCCAAGAGACCCCCGAGACGTCCCAAAAGGCTTCAAAACAACCGCCCACGAGATATCCCAAGGGGCTCCGAGAGGCATTCAAGAGACCTCCAAGAGACCCGAAGAGGCTTCACGAGGATCCCCGAAGCCCCCAAGATCCCCCGCAGACGCTCCAAGAGGTTTCCAAAACAACCCCCAAGAGACATCCTAAGGGGATCATATGTCCGCCCTGATTCCTCCCCCTTCTCCTTGTCCGTATTATTATTAGTAGTAGAATTAGTATTATTATCATCATCCTCCTCCTCTCCTCCTCCTCCTCCTCCTCTTCCTCCTCCTCCTCCTCCCCCTTATCCGTCTATTCCTCATCCAAGAACCAGCACCATCAGCAACAACAGCAGCAACACTGGCAACAGCAACAGCAGCAGCAGTACCAGCAGGAGCAAGAGCACCAGCAATAACACTTGCAACCTTCGCCACGAAAGATCTCCCAATTCACCGTTGTTGCCCGCTCCAGTTCACTATGTGAGTCTCTTCTTCCCTTTTCCGTCAGCTTTCCTGGGCATTGTTTCTGGATGGGCTGGTGGGGATTTTTTTTAACAGCCGCAGGCGGAAGCGCCAGCGGCAGGCGGTCACGGTCGGGCTGCGGCCGCGACTAGGAAGCGGGCGCGCGCGGGGCCGCGGTCAGCTGGTGGGGATACGCGAAGCGTCTAGAATTCCCCAAGGAATTGGCTGCGTCCAGCGAGGTTTCGCCTCGTTGCCGCCCGTTGCCGCGTGGGTGGGTCTGGCAAGGTTTCGCCACGTTGCCGCCGCGTCACCGCCTTGTTGCGCCTCGTGCGCTGGGTGGGTATGGCGACGTTTCGCCTCGTTGCCGCCCGTTGCCGCTCAGTCCAGCGAGGTTTCGCCACGTTGCCGCCTCGTTGCCGCCTCGTGCACTTGGTGGGTCCCGTGAGGTTTCGCCACGTTGCCGCCCGTTGCCGCCTCGAAGCCGCCTCGTGCGCTGGGTTGGTCTGGCAAGGTTTTGCCACGTTGCCGCCGCGTCACCGCCCCGTTGCCAGCTCGTGGCCACCTCACCGGCTGCGAGGTTTCGCCACGTTGCCGCCCCATTGCCGCCTCGTGGCCGCTTCGTGCGCTGGGTGGGTCTGGCGAAGCTTCACCACGTTGCCACCTCGTTGCCGCCTCCTTGCCGCCTCGTGCACTGAGTGGGTCCCGCGAGCATTCGCAACGCTGCCGCCTCGTTGCCGCCTCGTGCGCTGGGTTGGTCCGGCGAGCAATTCGCACCGCTGCCGCCCGTTGCCGCCTCGTTGTCGCCTGTTGCGCTGGATGGGTCCAGCGTGGCTTCGCCACGTTGCCGCCCGTTGCCGCCTCGTGGCCGCTTCGTGCGCTGGGAGGGTCCAGCGAGCACTTGTCACTTTGCCGTCCGTTGCCGCCTCGTCGCCGCCTCGTTGCCGATTCGTGACTGGGCGAGTCCGGCGAGGCTTCGCCACGTTGCCGCCTCGCTGCCGCCTCGTGCGCTGGGTGGGTCTGGCGACGTTTCGCCATGTTGCCGCCCGTTGCCGCTTCGTTGCCGCCTCTGACTTATACTAGGGCTCCCAACTTCGCGCTTCGCGCTGCGCGAAGCGCGAAGCGCGAATAACTTCGCGCTCTCGCGCCGCCCTCCCAAAGGGAGAAAAGGAGGACGAGGAGGAGGGGGAGAAGGAACGAGGACCGCGAAGCGCGAAGCGCGAATAACTTCGCGCCCTCGAGGGAGCCCTTGCTTATACCACATATACTGGACCACATAGGTTTAACTTACACTACGTAGCTTACACCACATAGCTTACACGTCCATTGTGAAATAACTTACATTAGGTTCCACGCTGGGTAGAATAGTATTCCTCGTCTGGTATTGGGGATCTGCGCAAATCATCGGCACGCTGGACTGCGCGCAACGATGTTCTAGATTGTAAGTGCACGTTTACGCAAGCTAGCGAACCAAACAATCAGGAAGATGCGATCAAAAGCAGCACTGCATGAAGGGATGCAACTGGTTCCATCAGTCCCTGGTTTTCTGCTCGCCACGTAAAATCACTGCTTTGTTGTGCCATCCGCCAGCTACTGAGACCCAAACTTCCCTCACGAAGTGCACAGTTCCACCAAAGTATCTCTGGCATCTCTAAAGAAATCCCGCGGTATTGTCGACCGATGGTTATGCGAAAAATAACTCGGAGATTAACCTATATGCATGACTAACTCGAAGAGGATTAAGACAAACTTGTGAACCGATGGTCGTTATCTAAAAAAGACATTCGAAGACGGACTGATGTGCGATCACTCCGACGGCGACCGAAGACCGCAGGATCACTATATATAGTATATATTACCGATGGGGTGACTTGGGGCCGAGGCGCTGGATTGTAGCGCGCGTGCCGCGGCCGATTCCGCCGGGAGCCTCGAGCTCGGTGAATGGCCTCTCGGACGCGTCCGTACCCGCGGACAGGCAGCGCACGAGCAGCTCCTGGACCTCTTTTGTCTCCCCATCGGCGCAACGCGGAGCAAGAGATGAGGTCGCCTCGAAGGACGTGAGGGGAGACTGCACGATTGCGCCCCACGAGCGTGCAGCTGCGACTGAGCCTGCCAAGCGTCCAAGTGAGACAATTGCAAGCCCAAGGAAGAGGACGAGGAGGAGGAAGAGGACGAAGAGGACGAGCAACTACTGGACCTCTGGCCCGGGGCACCAGCTGGGCCCGCGTCGCGACGTGCCGCCGCCATGACTAAGAGAGAGTGCAATGTCTGGGCCTCGTGATGGTCAGCGGGGAAGGGCCGCCCGAGGGGCTGCGGCAAAGGGGTGGGGTCGAAACGGTCTCCGTTCCCTATGGCCCGCCCCAGGACAGAAGAAAGCCCTTCAAGAGCACGAGACCCTCCACCGGCCAGAACACCCCAAGCCATAAAGATCACTCCAGGGTACCCTCCCGCAGGATGCACAAGAGCACTCCAAAGACACCGAGAACATGTAGGTACCCTCTCCGAACCGACCTCGATCTTATCAGGGGAACAAAGAATGGCATAAGCATCAAAGCTCGGAGGTCCGCGCGGACCTCCGAGTTATTATGTTTATGTCATTGTTCCTTCTCCTAGTTATACCTCGGTCCGACTGTATCCCCCTGCCCAGGCTGAACCTGTAGTCCAAGGGTGCAGCACCCTTGAATTCACGGCCGGCCAATGGTAGGAGAGAGTGGCAGGTGGAGGGGGGGGAGCCCAAGGAGCACCAAGACAGCACGCACGCTCGAGTGTCGTCAACAAGGCCCGCCAAACCCAGGGCAGGCGGGGAGGCTACGACGACCCATCCCCAAGCCCCCTCGCGCCGGCAAACGACGACGACGCACACAGCATGCCATGGCAGCTCTTCTCACGGCCGCAGCCACGTCAATATCTGTGACGGTGCCAAAAGCAAGGACGGATGACTAAGTCTGGCCGTTCCATGGGTTGGACTCGGGGCAAATTCGACAATTCATGATACCCGCAAAACAACCGCACAATTGCAAAAACTTGCACATGCGCACATACAGAGATGAGCACACCAGGGGACGAGCAGCGTGGGGGGAAAAAACGGTGCAATCACACTGCCACTCTGCTACAGTGCCTGGCCGCTCTCGCATGCTCTGCTCGTCGCTGTGCAGTGGGCCAGTCAACTGGCAGCTTCAGTTCAGGCAGCGTGCGTAGCGCAATCACGCACTAAGCCCGCACGCTCCGGATTCCCTGTCTCATTGTTCTGTACTTTCTTGCTGGCGGAGACTCAACTGAGGGCACAAAACAAGCATCCAGTCCCTGAATTCACCAAGGATTAGTCGTGCGCAAGTGGGGGCAGGGAGGGGACCGAGATTCGTTCACGCGGCCGGCGCCTGCGAGCTTGTGTCTTCTCTCTGCTAGCATGATCGACCCGCGAACCCGGAAAGGAATATAGACATGTAAGGCATGGCCACGTTTCAAAGACACCTGATTGGGCAACGGGCAAACGCAATGTTGAGTGTATCGATCTTGATGTACCGTGCCGAGGGCAGTGCTGTGCTTCGACGTGATGAATTGCGATGTGCCATGCCACGATTGTGCTCTATATCGTTGTGGATCGAGTCCTCCTTTTCATCCGAGTCCTGACCGAACTGATCTGGATCTTAAGCTCGAGCTGCCTGAGCACATAACTAGTAGCTGCCCCAGCGCTGATTGACACGGAAACATGCCAGGAAGACGCGCCGCGGAACGTCCCAAGGGACGCGCAAGGCGACGTGTCAGGGGACGTGCAACGGGGACGCACCGCGGGACGTACCAAGGGAACGCGCTACGGAACGTGCCAATGGACGTGCCACGGGACGCGCCAGGGGACGCGCCGCGCGACGTGCCAGGGGGACTCGCCACGGGACGCACCAAGGAACGTGCCAGGTTGCAATGCTGAGTGTATCGATCTTGATGTACCGTGTCGAGGGCTGTGCTGTGCTGCGCCGTGCTGAACTGCGAAGTGCCATGCCGCGATTGTGCTCTATAGTGTTGTGGATCGAGTCCTCCCTGGCATCCGAGTCCTGACCGAACTGATCTGGATCTTAAGCTCGGGCTGCCTGAGCACATAGTCCACACAGTAGCTGCCCCAGAGCTAATTGACAAGGAAACATGCCAGGAAGACGCGCCGCGGAACGTTCCAAGGGACGCGCCAGGCGACGTGCCAGGGGACGTGCCACGGGGACGCACCGCGGGACGTGCCAAGGGGACGCGCTACAGAACGTGCTGGAGACAAGCGTCGTGCTGGTGGCCTGGACACGTAAAAACACGGTGCCAGCTCGGGACAACCATGTTAGATACCCCCTGCGTGGCCTGGACATGTAAAAACACGTGGTTCCAGCTCGGGACAATAATGTTAGAGATCTCTCTGGGTGGCCTGAGCATGAAAAAACACGTGGTTCCAGCTCGGGACAGCCATGTTAGATACCCCCCTGCGTGACCTGGATACACTGAATTCGCGCTCCCGCTCGAGACATCCTCGCAACGTCCTCCCTGGAGAGGCCCCCAAAGCGCAACCCCCTGTTCAGAGCAAGAAACCATCACTTTTCTGTATTGGGACATGTGTTCGGGTAGCGATTTTCGGCCCCCCGTGCGTTTCCTCATAATTCGGCGTTGGGCCCGACGCCATGTTAGACACCCCAACTCTGCAAAACCAGCGTTTCGCTCAAGATATCCTCAACAAATTATGAAAAACAAGCGTTTCGCTCGAGACATCCCCCAACACTGCAAAACCAGCGTTTCGATCGAGACATCCTCAACAAATTCTAAAAAACCAGCGTTTCGCTAGGGACATCCTCGAATCTTAATCCGCCGGCCCACCTCGACTTCGATATCTATCGCAAAAGAAATTCGCCGGCCCACCTCAAGCCAAACCCAGAGTTAAACCAACGAAAAGAGAACCCTGGGCTTATGCCCATTCCGGGAAAAATCCCTTCTTCCACTGCTCGGGGAAGGGGCCTACCCCTCCCCCGGACCCCCTCCCCTGGGCCTGGGGAGGGGCCGATGTGTCAGGGGGTGCTTTTGGTCCGAGATGTCTCCGAGAGTGCCTCCGCGAGCCCAAAATGGTCTCCACGAGGATTCGAGATACCTCAAGATGGTTCAAGATGGCCTCCGGCGCACATCCAAGAGGCCTCATGATGGCCCCAAGACTGATTCCAGTACCCGCCGAGCCCTCCGAGGACACCCCCCAAGCGGCTAAAATGGCTCCGAAACCTATGGAAAAGAAATGTTGCTTACTCTCTCGCGTTTTCGCTTCCGATTGGTTTTCGAGGCTTCAAGATGGCTCCAAGACGGCCCAAGAGAGGCCCAAGAAGGGCCCCAAGAGGGCCCCAAGAGGGCCCCAAGAGCGCCAAGAGCGCTCCAAGAGCGGCCCCAGAGGGCCCCATAAAACGCCAGGTTTGAGCCTCCAGGGGGGGAAGGAATGAAGAACCCCCCTCTTTTTGAGCCATGGGGCCCAAGAGGCCTCCCAGACCCCTCTAGTGAGCCCCAAGAGGGCCTCAAGACCCCCAAAACGAGCCCAAAAATGGCCCCAAGAGTGCCCCAAGAGGCCCCACGGGGACCCCAAGAGAGCCCCAAAGGTCGCCTTGATCGTCCTTGAAGAACCTCTCACAAAAACATATCTCCAAAGCCCGACTTCTCATCCTCCTTGTCACCGTCCGTTCCTTCCCTTCTCCTTTCCTGCCTCCTCCTTCCTCCTCCTCCTCCCGCTCCTCCTCCTCCTCCTCATCATCATCATTATCATCATCACCACCACCACCATCATCATCATCAGCATCATCATCATCGTCGTCATCATCACCACCACCATCACCCTCACCATCCAAAACATCAGCCGCATCATCATCAGCATTAGCATCATCAGCATCATCAGCATCAGCATCAGCATCAGCATCAGCATCATCATCAGCAGCATCATCATCAGCATCATCATCACCACCACCACTACCACCAGCATCATCATCATCAGCACCATCATCGTGCCGCATTTATCCTCCTCCTCTTCTTCCCCCTCCACATCCTTCTCTCTAGTTCCTCCTCCTCCTCCTCCTCCTCCTCCTCCTCCTCCTCCTCCTCCTCCTCCTCCTCCTCCCCCATCACCATCATGTTCCCCCTCATACCCCAAAAATGGCCCCAGGAGGTCGAGCATGGCTCAAGATAGCCTCCGACAAACCTCCAAGAGGCCACGAGACAGCCTCAAGATGGTCCAAAGTGGCTGAGCATTGCTCGAGGTAGCCTCTGACAGCCTCTAGCCGAGCATGGCTCAGGATAGCCTCCAAGAGGCCTCAAGAAAGCCTCCGAACGTGCCTGGATGGCCTGGCGGTGATATTGTTTTTTTTTGTACAACCGCAGGCGGGCAGCGCCAGCGGCGGGAGGTCGCGAACGGGCCGCGGACGCGACTAAATTACCTAACGCGCGCGGGGCCGCGGACCAGGCGGCTCACGACAGCGTCCAGGGCGGCGGGGCCGATGCAATCCAGGAGCCAAAGACAGCCCCTGAACGGGCATGCACCGGTGCGTCCAACGGGCCTGGGGTAGGCACCGAGGAGACCAAGCGCAGCCAAAAGGGCGAGAGGCGTTCCCAACGTCCAGGTGCGAACGAGAGGAAAGTTCCCGAGGACGTCGACCCAAGCCTGACGGGTAGCACTGACGAATGGAGACGTAACTCCAGCGGGGATCCCGACGGCGGCAACGCGCCGCGACGCCGAAACGGCATCAAAGTGTGAAAATGTTGCCAAGAAACTTCCACACCGAGATGCTTCAGCCCAGACCCAGCGGGTGGGAGGGCGCCTGATGCACGCTACACGCTCGAAGCGCGGCGTGTGCACATCACAGTGTCTCAGTGCTGTCCAGAAGGAGTCGGAGAGCACACGCGGGACGAGACCGCGTATACCCAGGCAAGTCCGTCAAAGCCACTGATCCAGGGTCACGGCGGAAAGCCGTCCAGCATAGAGTTCCCGAGGACATCGATCCAGGG